TGTCCCTACACCATGGCAGCCTTGGGTGACAGGCAGAGTGTGTTTCTTCTGCAATTGTAAAAGTACAGGTACAGGGATATTTGCAGAGCAGGAGGACAGACTGGAAAAGCATCGGAGGGAACTAAAGGAACTGTCTGAACAGCATCTCTGGCTGTGACTAGAAAGCAAGCATGGCCAGTATGTAAATGGGAAGCTGAAACATGTTAATGCATATCTGTGCCTTTCATTTTCCATACACCACCTTCAAGAGTGGTGCCCATTTCCACAGAAAATTTTTTCAGTGCTCTCTGTGCATCTCTCTTATGCTGCAAGAAAATTGTAAAGCCTCTGTTGTAACTTGTGAAAGAGGGATGTTGCAGAGGCTCTGACAGTATGTGCTTCCCCTGCCATGGCTTGCTCCATGGCTCCCTTTCACTCACATGCTCTCCCTTCAAAAGCCCACTGGATGCTGGCTCTGGAAGCAGACTTCATGTGCTGTTGTCTTGCTTGAGGAGCTCTGGGAGTCCGTGGCCACTAGGGATCAGGGCTATACTGACTTCTTCTGCAGTCCTGCATTTCTCTTTCACATTCCTTCTCAGCTTATGCAGGGCTCAATTGGAGGGTTTGCCATCTTTGTCAGAAAAGAGGCTGCTTTCTTATCTTCTGTTTTTCCAGCCAAGTGATAAAGCCCCTACAGCTTTAGAGCCTTTAGAACAAGGAAAGGGTAACGAGTCCTCTGTTCACCTGCAGAGAGAGGAGTTGATGCGGTCATGTAAGACATGGAGAGCCAGAGAGATCAGCTGGAATGGAACCAAATTAAATGCATTTACTCTGCACTGTTCCATTAATGCCAAGTAATTACCACATACAGTGGGATTTTTGTTTTGCTTTGATTTGTTTCATTTTGGCACAAGAGAATTATTTTCAAATGTGAGTGCATTAGGCAGTCCGGTCTTCTGGGCTCTTAGGTAAATTATAGCAAGCCTTCCCTATTCCCATAGTGCCTCTCCCTTCCCCCTGGCATTTGAAAAGCTGGCAATGCAAAGATGGAAAATGCAAATGCAGAGAGGAAGTCTTTTTCCCAGTGGCAGCGATGCTGGTTCTGCCACTCTGGTGCAAACTCCTGGCCTGACTCCTATCCCCAGGATAGGATTTGCTGCCTCAGCAAATTCAAAGTGGCCCAAAGATGGGTATCAGAGAAATGCTCCAGCTAGAGGAAAAATTTCACTGGGAATATAATTCTCTTGTGGTTGAATGTGCAAGTACTGCCTGATCCCACTGGCACCCTGATCTCTGAAAGCAGTGCTGCCAAAATACAAAACCCACGCTCAGACTGCCATGAAATTCCTAAGCTAACAATCCATACTGGGCACTAGAGACTGTCTTGAAAAATGTATGGAGATGGGTCAGAGAGATGCAAAACTTCTGTATCAAAACCCTTCTTGTATTTTGGGGGCCAGGCAGCCATAAATGTAACAATTCTCCTCTTTGCTCAGTGAAGTGATAATTTCTATAGTGAAGAGCTGATAGGTTTTCTTGGTTTTATTTGATGAGTATCTGGAGGAAAAGAAAAGAAATACATTAAGGTCTGTTGCTACTCCAGTTTTACTTTCACACATAGTGTCCCAGTCCCACAAATCCCCAGATACAAACTTAAGGCTTTCAAAGTGCTCACTGGGAGGTGGGTCAGCACCTCTACCTAAAGACATTCATCAGACTGATCATTCATGTAAAAACATTGTGTAGCACAGTGAGGTGAAGCTTATTCCCTGTTTGGCATATGGATGGTGGTACCTCCTTTTTGCTCTCTTTCTTGCAGTGACTCTAAAAAAAACACATTATATATGTGCCAACTTACAGGAACCTCATTTCCCCACTTGATTCTCCCTAAAAACCCCTAAACAGGCCTAAACCTGTGTTGTGGATCCCAGCTGATGGGAAGACAGGATGACATGGGGAGAAGGAGACTCCACGATTGAATGTTGTCCCGGTTTTCAGACATGTTGTCCTTTCCCTTTCACTGCCTCTTAGTGGTCTGGCGTGGGGCTGGTTCAAAATTCACATACTTTATGCTCCAGCTGGGACCTGTGGCAGATCTGCTTTCAGCCATGGAAAGGGAACATTTTTGCATTACCTTTAGCTGCACCATGTTCCTGAAATAAGATACTTTGTTGTGAGCGTACATCCAGGCTTGTGGACGTCCTGTACTTAGGTCATGCTCCACCTTGGTCATTCCTGCTCTCTAAATGAGCCACACAATTTGAGGATAAGCAGAGGATTCAATTTTTAGGCTCAAAAGTCACATGTCAGCAGTATGCCTGCTATAGACTGTATATATGAATCATACAATATCACGCAGTGCACAAGCAGTGGAACAGGCACAGGCAGCAGCACCCTCAACTTCTGTAACATGTACCTGTTCAGCAGTCAGCCAGGAGCAATTGGCAAGACTGAAAGACAGCTATAGCCACTGAGAAACTGCACAGCAGTGTCGCCCTGAAAACTCAGTTTTTCGATCTTGTTAACATAGTTTCTAAAAACTTTCCCAGGACACTGGGAAAGATTTGACTGTAAACAAAGATATGTATACATTCTTTCTGATACATGTTTTCTGATGGACGTCTCGCACGACCAGTGTGATTGGAAAGGTGGTAACCTAACTATCCAATCCCTGGTCATTGCCGAGAATCTATAAATACTGAAGTTGTAAGAATAAAACCAGTTTTTTTCCCCCTGTTATACGGGAGCCGTGTCTGTGTGAGTCATTGCATGTCCTACAGCGACACAGCAGAAGGACACACTCAGCTTGAGCTGTGGGGAAGTTTATTGTTTCATAGCATCAAACAAGCAGCACCCACTTTACAGGGGCTGTTACCTGCCCCTGAGCACTGGTCCTCAGACAGGGGAACTGCGGCATGCCTTATGCAGCTGGATAAGGTCTTCCCATTAATGAAAGCAGTTGTAATATGAGAAGTGTCCAGGATGTCTGCTGGAGGAAGGATGAAATCACACACTACTGTCTCATTAGCATCCAGCTTTCCTCACTTGCCTTAGAACTGTGGGCTCTTCACTCCATTTCACTGCTGGAGCTAGAGTCTGTTAAACTTTGGCAGGTGTTGATGATCTTGCCTTTGTCTGGGACTGCTGTCCTTGATTATGACATTCAGGGGTTCTTTTCCTGGCCATTAACTGGTCATTCACTACCTTTGCAACCTTCCCTTGTCACTCATTTCCTACATTTTTTGTTGAGTAGTTAGGACTATCTCGATGTTAGAGAGCTAATAAGTGTTCTGTCTCTGTTATCTCAAACCTTGAATTTCTGTGAGAAATACAGATTGGCTAAAGCACCTTTTGCATTTCCAGATGAAAATGTGCACAAATCTGAATCATGATTATTATCCACAAGCTTGTTTTTTCGTTGCTAACAAGGCCATTTTAACACTCAGGGTTCATCATATTTATGCAAGATTGGGGACTAAATTTTAAAAAGCAAGAGAGAACAAATCATAGGTCTTAGTGAGGTGACTAGTAACTGCTTTGAATGTGTGCTGTTTTGTTGGGAGTCTCCTTTGGAAATAATTGTTACAGTCCCCAGGTATCCTATTACTGTGTGCTCTGGTTTTACATAGAATCTACCTGCATTATTTACTGATCATTCCTCTTCTCTTCAGATCAGAGGATCTAATTTCCAAAACCTTGTCATGCTGCTCATGTTGCTCTGAGAGGGAAGAGACTGTCCACCTTCCCATTTTTGTAGGGGTAGAATTACACTTGTATGCATGAGGAGTGTTAGAGGAATTTTTTTTAAAGTGAAGAGGAAATGCACAAAGATAAGCCTGCCTTCTATGATTGGTGTCACTTGACTATCCTGACATGTGGTTCATTTGCTGAGTTCTGTTTCTGGTCAGAGTAACTGCTTTTATTTGTGAGTTTTTGCAAGTGGGTGTTGTTTGCCTGACACTCGAGTGTTGTTGGATGTCCATTTCCCACAGGTTTGTGTTCTGCCTGCCCACTGAAACTGGAAGTCCTGCCTCTTTGGGTGCTGCTATTTAGAACTTTTATTAACAGAGCAATTTTGCCAGCAAAACCAAGAAAAGAGCTTTTTCTTTGGTCTGCCTGAAGTGCTTCTCTCATCTCTGTGACTTTCCAAGAGCTGCAAATAAAATGGGGGGGAAAAAACCGCATTCATCACAAATTTTGTGCAAGATTTTTGTCTTTGGCTATAAAATCAAGCGTATGCTATAGTTGTACATAATCACCTGAGTACTTAGAAGTAGACATGGGTGCACAGTGGTTTTGGCTGTGAGCAGTGGAAATTAATAAATTTGTCAATATACAGTTTGCAGCAGGAGTTGCCATCATGAAGGTCATGGCTGCCTGGCTCTGGCAATGTTGACAAATAATAAGAGAATCAAGCTTTAATGAAAAGGAGGGAATCCTCTCTCTCCTTCCCACTGCTGGCACCCTCAGTTAAAAGCACTGCTGAGTTGAAGGGATTTCTCCATCAGAGCTAATTACCCAAAATTATTTCAAAGTCTTATGCCTGTGTAAACAACTCTGAATAGGAGCTTTTTGCAGTAGCATTTGCATCAGAAGGTTTTTTCTCTGGATATCACTCATTTTGTTTCCTGTTGTTGACAGAATATATTGACGGTGTTGCCTCCTACCTTAAGGAGCTGTCATATTACAGAGTATGCAAGCCCTAAATCCAGGCTGAAATTATCCTCCTTCTATATCCCTCAGTTTCTCCCTCATGTTAGTAGCACCGGTAGTTGAAGACTGTTCCTTTCCTGCCAGGACACTGCAGGCCTTGCATTCATCAGGAATGGGCATTTGGGATATGGTCTAGAATACTGCAAGGATTGGATCTTGAATATGTGTATTCTCCTGCCTGGGACAGGAAAACAAATTAAATTAATTAAAGTAAAACAGGTTGGATGCTATTCTGGATAAAGAACAAGTTTTGGAGTGGGAAAGCTGTTACAGATAATTTAATTTACATTTTGACCCTTTCTTTACAGCCACAGGGACTTAAAACCAGAAAACCTACTGCTGGATGAAAAGAACAACATCCGGATAGCAGACTTCGGGATGGCATCACTGCAGGTTGGGGACAGCTTGTTAGAAACCAGTTGTGGGTGAGTATCTCAAAGCATATTACAAAAATGAGGGACAGATTCCAGACATAGAGGTTGTCTATAGTAAGGGTTTCGGTAAAGACCTGGGGACCTACCCACTGCACTGGTGGTTCCCAGCAAGACAATAAATTTATATAATGCACGTAGTGTGGAAGAAAGCTGAAAGAAGGGGATTAAGGGGATTTAAGTGCAGGCCATGGCAGTTGTCACATACAGATATAAAAATCAAGGCTTTCAGGTTTGGATTCATCTGCGTATGCTGATGTATTTGCATTCACTAGCCATAGAATTTTTGGGAACTAAAAGCACTGGTTGACTGTTTTAAGAGGCTTTGAAAAAATATTAAGGGGTGGAAAAATATTCTTAAATGGAATTTGCATGTCCTGCATAGGCTGTCTGCTTGCGTGCAGCTGTTCGTGTTCATGCTCAACACTGCTTCTGTCAGCTCCCATTCGGGAGTGACAGGGAAGAAGCAGGGTCCTTTGAAATGACAGGCAGGGCATGAATGCAGGTACAAAGGAGCCTGCCTGGAGGAATATTGCAGGGGCAGTCTAAAGATATTTCCATGGGAATTCAGTTGCCTTCGGGCACCACTGGACCATGCTCCCTGATTCCCAGTGCCATAGTGACTGTGCAGGGGCTGTGGCACTGAGCTGTAGCAAGGGCAGCAGCTGCACCGAGCTGCTGCATCCTGGCACCACTACACCAGCTTTTAGCTGTGCGTTGATTTGTTTTAACAGCAAGCACAGAAACCAGACAGTACCAGTAGATTTCCACTTCCTCCCATGCAGACTGACTTTTCCTGGCCATTGGTAGTGTGATTCTGATGCCTTCAGCCCAGGTCCCTCCTCAGCTGGTTTACAGTTCATGGTTTTTTTGGTGTCTTCTCTGAGCCAAGGCAGTTCATAGAGCCATCGTTGTTCCCTCTAAAGCTCAGCCACTGCCTCTCAGTCCTAGGCTCTGCTTTCCAACTCATGAATAATGGATAGAAAAAGTATTTGAAATTCATTATATGATAGAATGCTGGTTGGTGAGTAAACTGGGACCCACTGATTCTCTCCTGTCCATGTCAAGCCAAGATCTGTGGTCTTAGCAGCACAGATGAAAAGCAAGGAGTTGTGATGCCAAGGTCAATTACAGTGCCCTGCACTTGGGTAGGGAGATACTCAGTACCATCAAAACAGGCTGAGGGTTGAAAAGATTCAGAGCAGTGCTGCTGAGAAGGGCTTGGGGGTACTGGTAAGATGAAAGGCTGGATGTGACCCAGCAATGTGCACTTGCAGCCCAGAAAGACAAACATGTCCTGGGCTGCATCTAAAGCAGCATGGCCAGCAGGGAGAGGGAGGGGATGCTGCCGCTCTGCTCTGCTCTATTCTGCTCTGCTCTGCTCTGCTCTGCTCTGCTCTGCTCTGGTGAGACCTGCACTGCATCCAGCTTTGGAGGATTTATAGCATAAGAAGGATATGAACCTGTTAAGAGTGGGCCTGGAGGAGGCCATGAAGGTAGTTTGAGCACTGTAACATCTTCCCCTTGAGGACAAACTGATAGAGTTGGGGTTATTCAGTATGGAGAGAAAAGGCTGCAGGAGATCTTATTGCAAACTTTCAGTACTGAAAGGAGGACTATGAAAAAGATGAGGACAGACATTTCAGCAGGACCTGTTGTGATAAGACAAGGGATAATTGTTTTAAACTAAAAAAAGGTCAATGTGGATTAGATACAAGGAAGAAGTTTTTCACACTGAGGGTGGTATAACACTGAACAGGTTTCCCAGAGATGATAGATCCCCCATCCCTGGGAACATTCAGTGTCTGGTTGGATGGGACTCTGAGAAACTTGATCTAGTTGGATATATCCCTGCTCATTGCAGGGGCATTGGACTAGTTAAGTTTTAAAGATTGCTTCCAATCCAAACTGTTCTGTGATTCTGCACATCTGTTGCTTCCAGCTTCTTTCAAGCTTCCCTTCTAGATGAGGAAATGCAGTCCTCTCTGCAGCTGCCACAAAGCCTCTATATTCTCCAGAGAAAATTGTTCCCCTTCCTTGTGTGAGGGAAGAAAAAAAAAAAAGAAGAGTATAAAAACCAATCCAGCCAGCCTCAATTGCCTTGTAGGATTTCTCAAGCTCCTCAGGAACCTCTCAGTAGGGTTCCTGTTCTTGTTAGCACTGAGCTCTGTTATCCAGATCTGGAGTCTCAAAGGGGGGCTTCCTTCCCATAAGCTGTGCTGGAATTCAAACCTCCATGCTTCAAGCAGATCCAGCCCCCACATTGTGGCCTTAAAATGCACTAATAAAGAAATCAATGGAATGGAAGAGATGTGCCTGTAATAAACAGAACACAGCAGCAACGCTATGATCTCCTGCCTTGCAGATGCATTTTAAGTGTGTTGCCAATCACTAGGCCTCCATGTGAGCTATTACACCACTTCATTAATTCTCCTGGCATGCAGCCCAGCATGGCTGATACTGGTGTCTTGTGATCTTTCTGGTTTGGGGGGTGAAGGAAGGAAGGAATATATAACAATATGCCACACGGTTCATAGAGAAGAGTAATTCAGTTATGACTCCCTTTCCCTTGGAGCACACGCTGTAACCAACCTCGGAGCTTTTCAAGGCAACAGTTTTACCTACCCATGTAGTTGGTTCTTTCAGCCAGCATGAAAAGGAACAAAACAGAGTGAATCATGGCTGAGATATTGAGCTTTAATGAGATGCTCCTCCGTGCACCCATAAGTTAATTTCGAGAATGGCTTTATCCATACTGTGAACACTGATAATGAGATGAAACTGTAACATTTCCATTGACAGTCGTGCAGGGAGTCTCCAGGTATTTCTGTCAGTCAGAGTGGGAGGCTCAGATGGGGTTGAGCTGTGTGATACAGCTAACTTTGTCAGTTCATCAAAGCGGGGAGACTGCAGTCAAAAATTCTTTGCTGTCACAAGTGAACTGCTAAGTTTAGTCCAAAGTTTGGGTAGTCTTTAGGTCACTGCAGAGTCTTGACTGGCCTCATGAAGAGTAGCCTCATGTAGCCTCAGGTATGATGTAATTGCGTATCTCAGAGTCACTGTTTTCAGGGGGATATTCCTTAGGCCTGCATGGTTTTCTGTAGCACTGATAGCACTGACAGACTACCTGGAGGACACAGTAAAAGTTCAATCCAGATGTGTTTGTGTAGGAAGAGGCAAGGATGGACTTGCTGTTTCACTGACATAATTTGTCACTTATAGACTGCATGCTTGATCTTGATTGTAATGAATCCCCGTTATAGAGCTATGTATTGTGCAAATCCTGCATATGCACAGTGCAAAGGAATAAGCTGTAGTTTTTTTAGTATTTTTAGACCCTTAAGGGGAAGAGGAGCTGTGTGTAGGCTCTGCAGGACTAATTCTGCTTATGGCAGAAATTGCACAACAAGGCAGTCTTATGAAGAGATGGTCCTTGAAATGCTGAAGTAGCACGGTGAGTCTCTTCATTCCTTCAGAAGCAGGGAGGGTCCGTCTGCTAACAGCAGACAAGGAAGGAAGAGAAAGATGAGATAGGCTGCTGCTTCTACTATTTTAGATCTCTTCAGCTCTTCTTCCTCTTTACACATCCAGGGAGCGGCATGCAGAGACACTCGCCATCTCTTTCACAGTGATTCTTCCTGGCATGCTGCCTTACAGTGTTTCAGAATGGGAGAGGTTGTCCAATCCATCCTGAGTTGTCACTAGGCAAGAAGAGTGAGTGCCTTTTGGTTAAACCTCAGATCTGAGACCCAGCTTATCTGAGCTTGATTTCTGTCTCTGCTGAAGGCATTCACGGTGGTCTAGGACAAGATGCATTGCCCTTCTCTGCTTCAGTTCTCCATCTCAGCAAGTCATTGGTGTATCAGCAGACCTGTGGCAAGCAGATAATTCAGAGGGCAGATAGACCTCAGTGTCCAAGCACCCTTTCTGATTTTAATTACATGACATGATGCTGCACATATTCTTTCCCCCTTATAATAAATGTGTATATATATATATATCTAAAACATATGCAAGTGTCCTACATCTAGTCATTGTTAGGGTTGAAAATTTAAGTTCTTGAATTTGGCAATGCCAGAATTAGTACTTTTTACCCCATCTCATCAAGGCTTCCATTTCCAGCACTCCATTCCTATCTCCTTCCTGATTTGTGCCACAGTCTTGCTGACTTCTCCCATTCATTTCTGCTCCGTATTTGTCCCCAGATCCCAGATTGTTTTTTCTTTCTACTAGGTTCCAGCTCTAGCTTCCATTACCTTGTTGTGTGAGTCAGTTGCTGTCAGTCCTAGATCTACTTCATTAGTTTTGCACTCAGTTTTAAAGTTTGGTACCATGTGGTAATCCCACCCACAGTAGCTCAGAGATTCAGATAAAAAAATTGCTCTGTCAGGTGTTACCAATGCAGGTAGGATTTTGATCCCAATGCTCTAGAGAGCTTCTGCTAGTAAATGCAAACTGCAGTTTTCTAGTGAAATGCAATATTTCTATGACATAATTTCTAGAGAATGCAAATAAATACTCAGGTTTTCCCTTTGCAGTGGAGGATACTAGAAATTTTTCTTTCTCTTTCTTTTGTGTATATAAGTATTTACTTAAAATTAGACTTAGTGGAAATGCTTCAGCCCATACACAGTATGCCTGCATACAAATACATGAAACCAGTCTGAGACAGACAAAAAGCAAGGAAAATTGTTGTTAAATTGACAGTAAGTTACGAGGAACTTAAAATGAGGATTATAAAGGGAAATACCAGACAACCTTATTAATGACCACTGGTACCAGGATCACCTATAATACATCACAAGGTATGTTAAAAGAGCTTGGATTCTGCAAAATCAGTCCCTGAGAGTTTAAGATGTGCTTTTCTTCAGATTGGTAGTGTAACATTTACTCAGCCTGTGCACATTAGGATATGCCCATTAAGTACAAACTTGTACAGGTTTTTTTCAACAAATCTTTGCCTCATTTGATGATTGGATGGTGTGTTTTTTTGT